AACCAGAAGGTGCTTATCTAAAGATGAGAAGTGAGCTGCCCCGGAACCTCATGGTATCTGAATATTATATTATCTAACTAAAGTAACAAGCTCTCATTTTATGCCTGGCGAAGGTGCCAGGCAACAAAACATAGTGAGAACACTAACGTCCTTGACGGGGTGGGGGAGGGGAACAGCTGCTCTTGTGCTCCTTTCTCAAAGAGATAGTGTTTGAAAAAAACCGTAATATTCCAGTATATTCCATGCGGGAAATTGATCAGTTTGAAATAGGAAGAAGAAATGTACATATCCATCTGGAACTTTGTCGAGGAGCATGGCTTTTGATGCAAACCTTCTTCCTGTCTGTGTTAGTAGGGCGCTATGGTCTAGGTACTGCGAACCAGAGCATTCAATAGTACCCTATACCCTTGGCACAAAGGAATGTGAGCACCTATTACAAGGTCCCCTCCTTAAACAAAACCCTCATCCACTGGTTTACAACTGCTTTTACGCACTTTTCATCGTCAAATGTCTCATTTTACTGTAATACCACTCATGACGGTGCTATCCTCATTTTTCACCCTCTGAAATCACGAAGTCATCTCGAAAGGATCTTAGCTGGAGCCAAGCAAGCAAGCGTAAAAATATCTGGTCGAGGAGGGAGCAGAATGGCAATCTGCCGCGTGGTCCACCCCCCCCCAATACATTAGCACCCTTTTGCGAGCTTTGATAAATTTTGAAATTTTAATATGTTGTTAATCATTCCAAAGATATTTCATTACTCTCTGCCACCGCGGTACGTCTCGCCGTTGATGAAAAACTGCAAAATACCACCCATCCTTAAAATCTCAACTCTGCTCAACTCCTTACCCATCCTACCTGCCACCCTGCCAGTCTTCCCCGGGATATTGCCGTCTACCGGGCGGTGTGAGGAGGACGGCCGGATCCCTGATCAACTATAGAGATTGTATTAGGTCATCCCATTCAAAAGTGCCGTGACATATAGAGGAATGGCAGAAAAGCAAAGGGGATAGGGAAGCGGGCTACTATACCATTTGGAGGCTAGTACCCTTTAGCTGTGTATCTGTGAAATTTGGCGAACCTACCCACAGAAGAAGTTCTCGAGAAATTGAAAAGAAGCCCGAGTGGTGAAAATCAGCGCCCGATTTTCAAATCAGACGTCATAAGAGGGAAGTGCGCTGCTCAAATTCGACCGGCGCCGGACCAGTAGTTGTGTGTAATGGTGTTCTCGAAATACAAGGTGGAAGGTTTTCAGGAGCCCGAAGAAGGAAGAAAGGAAAAAATTGTTGTCGTGGATGTTCACCCTGCACA